TAGTTAAAAACCCAACATATGCTATAGATTAATCCCACTTTAATTTACAACAGTTGCCACCGGATTGCAAACTGTTTCCCTGTACTAAGTGTTTATTATAAAATCGCTAACTAAGAATTGGAAAATAAACCATTCTGTGTTTAAGAAAAAACACAAGCACTGGTCATCATCCTGGAATACAGTAGCAAAGTCTGAGCTAAATTAGAGAGCTGATAAATATATTAGCACAGCACCAATAGTGTATAATGAAATCTTTTAAATAACATAGGGAAAAGGAACAAAGTTATTCAAAATAAATGTCTTTTTCTACAATAGTACATGCAAGGGGTCTCCACTGTATTAAAGCATATAAAAATAATGGAGAAGAAAATTGAGTTGTGAGCACTGAGATTTTCTACATTTGCTTATTTTTAATGTAGAATTCAGGCAGGTGTCTCAGGCAATATACTACAGTTTCATGTATAAATGAAGCAGTAAGTTTCAGTAACTTAAAATTAATTTAGATTAAAATTGAAGTTTAGCTCCAAATGGAATTGAGTTGTGAAATAGTCCTTTCAAAAATGAATGGAGATCTAAATTTAAAATGACTGTTGGCTAACAGAATGGTGGAATATTGGTTAAAGACTGTGATTTGAAGCCCATGCTTACTAAAAAGCAGATAAAACCAAGTCTTTAAGGAGAAGTATGTGGCCCATGTAAGCCATCATTTCAACCTGTTACCAAGTTAGTAATATCTACTTTCCTTCTGAGTTTTATAAATATAAAATCACCTTTAAAACCCCACTGTACAAATCTTAATCTTTTATGCTAATGTTTCTGAAAAAGGTCAAAAAATGAAATACTTCTTTATCTGCCAGTAATGTTTTTAATTCATATTTGCTCTCTATTTAAAAAAAAGCAAGCAAAAACCCCCTCAGTTTCCTTACGACAGCAGTCACCGAATCATTTGGCTATTTTATTAAAATATACATCAATAAGAAATGTTAAAAATCAGAAGTGACATTATTTTGGAGGGTGAATTGCTAATAAAGCAACACAGATTTTCATCCTGTGTGAAACAGCTGGACCATGACGAGATCACATTAGCACTAATTAAAATGATATTTTTTTGTGCAGTTTTTGTTAATCCAGCTTCATTGGACTCAAAAGGATTTTTGAAATCTGTAATAAAAGCTATTATGTAATCTTACTCTGGTTCTCTTGCATCAGGTTACTGTGTGAAATTTCCCTATAATAAACCATATTTTCTTAAAACTCACTCAATAAAATCAATATTAAGTTTTTTACTATTATAGCTGTTTTTCCCCAATATATGATCCTCATTTAATTAAAAAAAATTAAAGCTTTAATTTATTTTTGCTTGATGAACAAGAAAAATATCATATTAAAGGCAACATTTTGCCATGTTTCTCTTTCTCCCTCACTTTCCCAGGTCCCTGTTGTTCCCAATGTATAATTTGCAAAACATATTGCTTCTACTTACAATGAGGCGGCCCAGCTGTGGGAGGGAAAGGACAGCAGTCTCCAATATTACCATAATAATCTGCCTAAGGTCCCATGAGCCCTCTGGAGTATACAATTCTCTATACTGCAGGCCCCAGCTGGAGAATGTTCTCTTGACATGTATGCCAACCTTTGCCTGCAGGCAAAATAAAAAAAGGCAGAGAAGTAATCATGAAAATAAAAAATCTTGTCAACTGTGGTAGGAAGCAGTTTCCATGTTTTTTTGCTCACGTAGGCAGTCATTGTGCTAACAAAATGATAGGAGACTTTAAAAGACTGCAGCTGGTACGTGTTTTGCTGGAGAGGGGAGAACATCATGTGCCACGCTAATTCTGCAATTCTAACTTTGGGGGAAAAAATGAGCAGTGATATTGTATTACTGTCAATATGCATGACAGCTTTATTTACCTCCTCTTCCGATGGCTGCTCATTACAGGATTTAAGCAGGAAAGTGAAACCCTGACAGTGTAGTGCTAATTGCAAAGGGCCAGATTGTGATCCTCATTGTTTTGTGTTGGGTGGTTGGGTTTTTTTCACTGCCGTGAGGGCTCTCAGGCAAATAGTCTGGCTGGCTCAGTGGGACTAATTGGGAAGTAAATGCCCATCACTGTGAAAGCCATACAATTGGCTCAGTGAACTTTCCAAGAAAAAAAAAGCATGACTTTAAATCAAATAATGCAGTAAATGGAAAAGGTGGTTGGAAGGCGCATGTATAAGATCAAAGACCAATTCTTCAATTTCAAACTCAATTTGAACCCAAGAACCCAAGGTCTTTCTTCTGATTTCATTCAAACAGATGTAAGTAAGAGGAACACCAGCATCACAGAGCTCAAAACAAGTCCCACCTTGTTATAGTTTTCTAAAAAAATAAAAGTGGTCTTCTGTAAAGAAAGAAAAAATGTGTGTGTACCAGTCATGGGTCAGAGGCTGTATTTTCAAAAGAGTGTTGCCAAAGTACAACAAAGGGCTATTTAACATTTTAACCCTAATTAACACTAAAACAAGATTTCCTTTTATTTTTATTTACTGCTGGAAGACATATTCTCACTCAAATGCACGGTATTTCATTTCACAATAACCTCATGGATTTTACAGGTGTACTCAAGACGCAAGATCTTTGGTACTAAACCAGTACCCAAACTGAAAACCTCAACTCTCCTGTCTGAATGAGCTCAGAATATAGCATCCATCAGAGTCATACATTTCTTAATCTAATGCATTTTGGATAGAGCAGATTTGTGTAACCATAAACCTGTACGCGAGCGGAGTGAAAATGGCTGTGGAAAGCTAACAGATCAGAAGAGAGCTGCTTCAGGCTCAGAGGACACAGGCGTGGGAGAGACCCAGAGACAGGGGTGGCTCCCAGCAGGGGAAGTTTCAATGCAGTCACCATCTTCCTCCTCCCTTCCTACTCCCCGCTACCCACACAGAGTTTTTCTTTATGTGAATAATAAAAACAAGCCTGTTAATTTAAAAGAACTTTTCACCTACCTATGTGTGTGTACGTAAATATGTATTTTTTTTATTCTCCAAAATCTGTTTTCATCTCTTTTGCCTCCTTTCTTCAAGCCACCTAGAAGGAACAAGAACAAGTTTAGCTCAATAATTGCTCTTGAAGGATATGTACAGTAGCAAGTTAAAGAGTTCGATTTGTTGTCTGAAAGTGGAAGTCATTACTTACACTGGGTGGACTTGGGAGAGACCCTGTCTGTCTGGCACACGAATAAGATCGTTCTTTAAGTCTGCCAGCCAAGTGGAGCTTAATTGAAGACACTGGAGAATTTAAAATGAGGAGAAAATGAAAACAAAATAAAATATATATTGAGAAATTACTGGGCCAAGATTAAACAGAGTAGAGAATATTCCACGTGGATGTAAGAGAAAGAAGGAATCATGGCCAAAGCCTATTTAGACAGACTTGAACAATGTCCCCTCATAAAACTACTGGAACTGAAGAACGTGACTCTCCAGAAAGAAGGGTCCTTCAGAGTCCAAGGCACTAACCCTTAGGAGGTGTTTTCATATAGTGCAGCTTTGGATATAGGTGTCTAAACTATCTCTCTGCATTTCATCATATGTAATAGGACATCACAGTCCAAATGAACAAATAAATCCCACATCTTACCACAGAATGAGTTGGAAGCCTGGTTACCATCACTGTGGCTGAGTTAGGTATATAACCTTGCTACCAGATTCATCTATGTTCTTACAAGAATGAATCTAGGTTTGGGGAGGCATTCCTTCTCTCTTTTCTTGCTTGTGTTATTAACGTGGCTTGTGTTAACTACTTACTGCTCCGAAGCCACAGCTCCGTCAGTAAATCAAACATTCCCTAGTGCACTCCCTGGCACTGTGGTCAACCTGCACCACGCAGCCCAGATGAGAGCAATTAAACACAAACCCTATTACTCTCTGCAACAGGGTGGCCTTATCCAAGCTGCCCGCTGGGAATCAGCAGTGCCCTTCATAAACTCCCAGATCGTCCCCAGGAGCAGTTTGGGAAAGCATTACTCAGCACGGGCCAAAACCATGGGCAGAAAGACTTCCAACGCTGTTTACTGGTACAGATGTAGCATGAACATGTTTTGCTTGTATTTGAAATAAATTTAATGGATTTTTTTCAGGTTAGTGAGACCACCATAAATGCACAAAAATAGTTACCATCCTGCAAAGCTACTGTAAGTAGTTCAAAAAAGTAGTCTATAACTGGGTTACGGATCTCTGTGAAACATTTATACTTTATTTGCTGGTTCAATCAGCTAAAAATAAATAATGTTTGATATGATATGTCATTGTGACATAAAATAACAAAATGAGTTTTCACAAAATGTAACAGGAGTATATGCTATCTTGAAAAAATGTGGTTGTTTATGTTTGAAACAATTTTATGAATCCAACCCAGAAAGAACGTATAATTTGGACTTAGCTGAATTTGCATTTTCCTTCAACTAGATGTACTCATTGATATTAGGCATGGCAGTAAGTATTTTGGTTGATAAGCAATATGAGTAGGAGAAGAGGCCGGAGTCATCAGCAACAAAAAACCCACCGTCTAGCAGAAAAATTATTTTAATAAGTGTAGCCCTCCCATAATCTCCAAATTGCACAATTACACAATTCCATGGTTTTGTCTTGATGGTAGGAATACAAGTGAGGTTTTTGTAAATTAATCTTCTCTTACTTTCTTCACCCAGTGGGATGAGAGAGACTGATCTAACCCATTTACCTTAGGCACTTATTTTTGCATGGGATGAAATCTGGAAGTTCTTGTCTCTCTGCAGAGAGAGTCTAGTCAGCTAGCTGATTAGACAGCCAAAGTTAGGTAAAACAAATGGCCTGTTTCTGTTACTTCAAGTTGATTTGGAAAATCCCTCTAGGCATGAGATGTGCCAAGTGCCTTTAAAAATCCAGCTCCAGATCTCTGCAAAATCCCAACCACCTGTGTTATGTGCTCAGTTTGCAAGTACTTTTCTGTGCTTTCCAAACTCCCTTGGCTCATGTCAGCAGAAAATATTTGCCACCAACCCAAACGGTTCCAACTGCAGATGCTGCTGAGAAGCCGGCTCACCCCTGCAGGAGGAGGTCGGGAGTTGGCACAATACCGCAGGACGCTGACAAAAGCAAAAGCAAAAGCAAAGCAAAACATGTATGCACGCAGCCAACAGCCCTGCGATGAAGGGAACCTACCACTCAAGCCTCCCATGCACATGGGATTGGGTACGCCGCAGCGGCTACCACAGACCTGACGCTGAAGGAGTTTATGGTGGGTGTCCACCTAAGGAAAGAATAGGAGATCAGACCATCCACCCAAACAGAAAGACAAAATGAAAACAAGTAGAAATAAGTATTTCTACTCTCCGCTGAGTGAGAAAGAATTGGGGATGTTACTTTTCTCACTGCAATGGGCCTTCAGCAGCTAAGCTCAGCCATGCAACATAATTGTCCAACAAATCTAGTTGCTACTCTGGGGATAGCTAGCTTCCCACGTTTCCTTAGAAAGGAAGTAGTAGACAACTACATATCCATCTTGGAAAGATGAAAGCTTTGTTCCCTATGTTATTTTGGAGAGAGATAGGGACCCATCACTGAGTACCTGGCAGATTAAAAAAAAAACAAAAACAAAATACAATTAATGTCTTCAGTCTCTGCACTGTCAAATATTCTCCTGTCCTCTCACAAACCTTTGGATGATTCTGAAAACCCTCCAGATCTCTGTTATGATGCTTATCCCAAAGCCTGGGAACTGCTAACACGTCAAGGGAATATTTGCTGAACACAACACCCCATTCAGAGACATGACTAGGAAAACAGGATTTGTGAGTTGCTACGGAGGAACTACTGAAACCCTGACTGCAAAAAGAAAACAAAATATTTCCCTATGATACCAGATATTTTCAAATAAATGAAAAAGAGAAGAAAAGGTCTTATACAAGAAAATTGTCCAGCAACATCTGAAATACTGAATGCAGCATAAACTGGGTGGACCCCTTGTCATGGTATGTTGCACTTCTGTCAAGGGTATGAAACAAAGGGAGAGGAAGGGAAGAGTAAAAACTGACAGACTACAGTTCACTGAAAGTCTGATCCAAAACCCAACAGAATAATTGGATTCTAACGAGTTTTGATTCAGTCCCGACAAGTCTATTTCTGTGTATGAACAAGAGTTTTGGAAGTAAGCAGTATCACTTATAACGCCATGAGGAAAAATGTCTACAGATTGCCAAATTAGACGTTTCTAAGAGCATTATGAAGCATGCTAAGCAATAGGATGGGCTTTTAAAATTAATAAATGGGCTTAAAAATAAGGTTATTATTTTAAACTTAGAAAGTTAGTGATAGGACTTTAAAAGAAACCCCCTCCACAAAGAGGAAAATAAGTATAAATTGCTAGGAAAAACTGACATAACAGAGACACTCAAAAGATGCACAGATTTTTGTTTGGAAAAAAGAGGAGAACTTGGAGTACTGAAGGAAAGCAGGATTATGATGTTAATAACTAGGTGAAAAGAAAGTTGTGTCAGGTCTCGGAGTCTTTTCTGTTTCTGAATTGTCTATTACCAGTTAATTTTATCCTCTCCTTCTCTAGGTTTCCTAGAGAGATCATGGTGCTGTGACTGAGCTGGTTACAAAAGGAAAACTGACTGTGATAATTCAGATTAATGTACAGGCATCAGTTTTCCTCGGCAACTGTTAACACAGATACCAGTCTTTACAGAGGCTCAGCTCTCCTTTCTGCTTCCAGACTCTCCCCTCCCTGATTCCCCGGCTCCCAGTGGAAGTGAAAGGGACAGTGCCAGGGCAGGTCATTTTGCTTCTTAGTTGCTTTCCCTGACATCCACTTACAAACCTAAAAGCATATTTATTCACTATTTGTTTTGCTGTCATAACTAAAACCTTCCATCAGATACAAGAACCTCACTTCGAAATACACCAGAAGATTACCTCTGTCTCAGAAAGCTCTTGGGGGCAAGTCTAATTTACTTCTGTAGAGTCGAAGGGAGGGGAGAAGCTAGTGATGGAAATGTCATTCACTGGAGGGCCAAAACTAATAACATTGCACAGAAATAAAAATACAAGTCTGTCCAAACAGGAAACACAAGAATGCAACTCATACAACCGTAATTCAAAGATAAGAAAAATCTCAGATCTGGAAGGGGGGGGACACAACTTACTTCCTTGTCTGAGATATACAACTCAAATAGTGGCTGCTCCTAGGCAAGTCATTGAAAAAAATTTTCTAGTGCACAGAAGGCTGATCCAAACACCTGAGTTTACAGAAGCCATGGATTCAAACCAGAGCTGTTCTCTTGGTGTATGGAACAGCGTTCCTATGGTGGAACAAAGGTTGGGGAACCATGGCTACAGAGTCACATCCAGAAAGAGACTTGAGCAACCATGGGACAACCTAGGCAGAATTTAAAATCTGTGATACAAGGCTTGTTAATCCAGAAGTCCAAAATTCAAAGCTTAAACTTAATGGCTGAAGCATCAAGTTCAAGATATGTGTGAAGTTCTGCTACTGGGAAAATGCCAGGTCTAAAAAACAGCCACTGGGATTCATGAACTACATGAGAAAGTGTAAGTGCTGCGTGGTTTCAATTTCAATTTCCATGCTTTAGAACCCCTTACAAAGCAGTGTGCAAAGACAGCAAGTAGCATAAGGGAGTTGGTGTCACAGAAAAAAGCATGCTCAGGTTGTTTGCCTTACACTGCTTAAGCCAGAACTTGCAGCAAGAAATCAGTATCAATAATAGCATTGCCCATTATTAAGGTCCAGGGACATGTTCTGGCCATATCTCAACTACACACTGGGAGCACTAGGCCACTGCATGCAGCAGCCTCATACTTTTTTATGCTGCTATTATTACTTTGAGTTCAATATAAGGAAACCCAGACTGCTGCCTGGACAGGATGCGTTGGATCGAAACTACTCCCTAGTCTGCATGATCAGGGAATGAACGTTCCTATATACAGTCAGGTGAACAAATGATGCTGGTGAGGGAGTGCCAAGTCCCATGTGTGACAGTTACTGTCATCTAAGAGGCCAAGACTCATGTCATATCCTTCTCCACACCTTTTGTTCAGAAAGGAAGTTTCTGGACCAGAAATGTCAAGTGAGGGAATCTTGCCACTGCAACTCTTCCTTCTCTCCTTACCGTTTTCTCATTCTTCCTGAACACTCGGTCATCCTCTCTCGGTCATCATTGGACTGAGAAGAATCATCAGCTTTTTCAGGTTTTTCCTGGCAAAGATATTTTGGAATGGGTAAGTAACGATGCTGCTGTCAACGCTAAGCAGGAAAGTATGCACTCTAACAGCCAAGGAAAATTCCTGTGGTTATTTTTGATATGGTATATCATATTCTTTATTGAATAAAGGTACCATGGAGTACCTGCTTTCCTTAAAGACTTGTTTGGGGGTTGTTAAAAAAAAAACCAAAACCACAACTACTTTTCTAAAGGATTTGGGTTCCATGCATTTGTTTATCTATTCTTCAGTGTCAGGAATAACTGATAAATGCAATACATCGAAATAGATAAATTAATAAAAATTATAAGTGTTGCTGAGAGAGTGATGCCAGCAGCTGTGATACAAGGGTCGTTATATATCAGTGACTGCACATTAGCTCTGTGTAAAGCATTTTGAGATCTCAGGATACAACAAGAGCAACAACAAAAGCCCCACAATGTGACTGCATTATTTATTCAATATAGTCTACACCACATGCTGCATTTGCATATAAAGGATACCTTATACTGAGTATACACAGTTATAGAAAGAAGAGGTAGGCAAGGGGTGTTGGATCATCTCTTCCATCTCCCTGCCAACACAGTGTCATTCCCTACTGAGTATTTTTAGTGCTTTGCCCAGTCTAGACTAAAATGGAACTTAGTAGTTAGGCTTCTTTCAGGGACTCCTCACAGCCCAACAGAACTCATACTCAGTGTTATCTGATATTAGATCTCTATTTTTTTCATCTCTCCACCATACCCAATACCCTCAATTCCCTTTTTTTCAGAAAACTTCAGTCATGAGATATTCTGAGGTTGGGACCCAGCAAAAATTCAGCTTGATTATTCTTCACACTTTTTTTCACACTCATGAACAAGAGATATTTGTATACCCTATATCACATATATGGCAATATTAACCTGCACAATCATGTGTTAAGTATATTTTTAGGAATATTTGTCTCCTGTATGCAACCAATATCCTTATGACTAAGTGTAACATTCCAAATAGGCAATAGTCAGTCATGTTAAATTTGCCTTAATAAAAATTTGTTCTCACCAAAAGTGGAGTTCTACTTCCAATTTCAAATGTCCATGACACAAGTGTCCCAAATTCTTCTTAAAGTGATAACTTTTTTGTACATAAAAATGTTAGGTTTTTAAGCATCATTTCCCAACCTGCTGGTGCTAGAAGTGGGCATTTTGTGCCTTTAAGAGGAGACCCTTGGCTTTCCAAGGGAACATTTCACATGTTTCTCACCCTGCAGCACCATGAGGTAACAGACTTCAAAATCATGCAATGATATGTATTCACAGAAGAAGAGCTATCTACGGTGGCTTCACAAGGGGAGTAGTTTCAGACATACTGCAAGTAACATTGCTTACAACTCTCTAAAACAGCAAGTTCCCTTAAAATACCTTGACTGAATCTCTTTCCCAAATGTGTGACTGCTTGGCATGGTCCAAACCTGTCACTGGCATTCGTTTGCGGATGACCTGCACAGCTTATTTGAGATTTTGCTGCCTTCTGACTCTGCACCTACACTAAACACATGCTGATAAAACTCCCCACCATATCACCTTGCAGTTTGTACAGGTAAGGGCTGACAGAAGAAACTCCTTCAGGCCAGATGTAGTTGTTGGCTTCCTCACCTGTGGCACATCTGCTCACCATCAACTTTCACTCTCTAACGACACATTATTTCAGTTCTTTGCTCCAGTTAAAGAAAACTGAACATTAGCAACAAAGGGATGCTTAAAGCCTTAAGCACCAATCTCTAAAACAGATATATCGAGGCACTGAAGTGTTCTAAACATGATAGCCAGCCTACATGAATGGCATCAGTTCCTACTTACATACTGACTGGATCACTTATTCAGAGAGGGTTATTGGTTTTCTTTTTACTGAGTATCACCTTCTTACCAAACACCTTTGAGTGCAGCATGCTACTGCCCCTAAGAAAGAAAATCTAGTCTCAGCAATAC